TTTATTATTTTTGTGTATATGTGTATTGCCTGCATGTATGTCTGTGCCCCATGTGCAAGCTTAATGCTTAGGGATACCAGACAAGGGTGTTGACCCACCTGAACCTGAAGTACAGAGGGTTGTGAGCCTCTATGTAGGTGCTGGGAACTGAAACCAGGTCCCCTGTAAAAGTAGACAGTGCTCTAAACGTGAGCCATCTCTCCAGCCCCTATGTTGCACTTTTAAATACAAGTTTTGTAGTGGGAGATTATTCAGATTATTTGGCTTTTTATGTTACCAGAAAAGTGAGCCCCTTTAGTTGTTATATTTAAAAAGTGGTAATACTTTTTTTTTTTTTTAATTCTGTTGGGAATTAACTGTATAAAGTTTAAATGTACCTCATTTCATATTTTTTTTATCCAAGTTGCTAATCTTTCTTGAAGACAAAAAAGTTTTTTTTATTTGATGTGATGGGTGTTATGCCTGAATGTATGTGTACCTGGTGCCCTCTGAGGTCAGAAGAGATCATTGAATCCCCTAAGTTTTGGGTAACAGATGGTGAGCCTCAGTGTGGGTGCACAACCCAGATCCTCTGGCAGAGTAACAAGTGTTTTTTTTTGTTGTTGTTGTTTTACTTGTTTTTCTTTCTTTTCTTTTTCTATTTTTTGAGACTGGGTTTCTCTGTGTAGCTTTGGAGCTGTCTGTGTAGCTTTGGAGCTGTCCTGGCACTCACTCTGTAGACCAGGCTGGTCTTGAACTCAGAAAGACCCACCTGCCTCTGCCTCTTGAGTGCTGATATTAAAGGCATGCACCACCACCGTCTGGCTTTTTTTTGAGGGGGGGGGTTCAAGACGATGTCTCTGTATATCCCTGGCTGTCCTGGAACTCATTCTGTAGACCAGGCTGGTCTTGAACTCACAGATCCTCATTCCTGTGCCTCCGGAAAGCTGGGATTAAAGGCAGGTGTGTTTCACCACCACTTGGCTGCAACAAGTGCTTTTAACCACTAAGCCATCTCTTAGTGGTTTAAAAAAAAAAAAAAAGATTATCAGTCTTATATGTAGATCTCAAAATGAAAGTTTCAAAACTGCTTTGAGATTTTGGAGCAAGCTGGTCTGGTGTTTTACACCTTTAATACTAGCCACTCAGGAGGCATACACATAAACAGGTCATCTCTGAGATCCAGGCTAGCTAGGAATACATAGAGATATCCCAATTAAACAAAATAAATAAAAAGTAAAAAATAAATAAGTAATGAAACCATATTTTGGAGTACATATAACTAACGATAGGTTTCTTTTTTCTTTCATTAATCTATTAATATTTTAATACCAGTTTTTCAGGACTCTAATGTCACATGGCAAAGCACCAAGGGGAAAGCTAAACATGATTTTGATTTCAGAATGAATAAAAATATTAACAAGTGATATCAGGGGGTTTCCAGTGAAGGAACATAATTGGCGCTGGGTTTATGAATTTATTATTATCATTATGACAGCAGGAGAAAAGAATAATCCCAATATATGGTAAAATGACATTTGATGGAGTTCAATAAATGTCCCTTAAAAGAAGTCTTATGTTTAGAAGTGTTTTGAGAAAAAATTATGAGATTGATTCTTAAAATTTCTTTCCTCGATTCATTTTCTAGCATTGCTATTGGAAATACTTAATAGTAGATGAAGGACACAGGATTAAGAATATGAAGTGCCGGCTAATCAGGGAGTTAAAACGGTTCAATGCTGATAACAAACTTCTTTTGACTGGTACTCCCTTGCAAAACAATTTATCAGAACTTTGGTCGTTGCTAAACTTTTTGTTACCAGATGTATTTGATGACTTGAAAAGGTAAGTAAGGTAGTTACTCGTTTTCTGTTTTTTGTTTGTTTGGTTTTTGACCTTAAAAATCTGTGTTCTTAGCTGAAACTGATTCCTTTCTTTTTGGTAGCTGAATTTAAATGATATTTTAGCCAATTTGTATTCTACAATATGCTTTCTCCTTTTGATAGAATATATATGAGAGAAGATAAAGATTTAAAACATTCAGGTTGATTAAAGGGAAACAAAACAATCCCTAAGGGACTGCGAAGATGGCTCAGCAAGTGAAGGCCACTAAATCTGAAGGCCCGAATTCAGTTCTGAAAGCCTGTACCAGGCAGTCAGTGACTTTTGCATGTTTGCTTTTCTGTCTCCCTTCCTGTGTTGTGGCACATGTGTACAACCCTTCCACAAATAAATAATTTTACAATACTTTAAAATGTTTTTCCTAATAAAAATAATAGTTAAACATGAGCTTTTTAATTCTAAAATGCTTTCATTTCATATGGATATTTTACAGGATAGCTCAGTCAAATGAAGAGTTTAGCTGTGTTCTTTATTTCATATAAGGAAGCCTGGTTAGAAGTTGTTAAAAAATATGACTAGTTGGCACCAGAGAAAACTTTGAAATTCCCAGTTTCAACCTAATATTTTTGTTGGTATATTTGAATTTCAAATTATATTTTCCAAAAGTTTCCAGAGAATTATCTTCAGATTAGAAAAAGATTCTATTAGTAAGAAAAGGCAATGTGAAATAAAGCAAAAAGATTGAGGACAAAATGTCGTAGGAAGCTGTTTGTTTGTTGGAAGCTGCTTGTTCCTGGCTGTCCAGACTCAAAATAATCACACAGAAACTGCCTCCCTCTACTCTGCCCTATCACAGGCCAACACATTTCTTTATTCATTAACCAATAAAAGCAACACACAACATACAAGGGACTTTCCACACCAGACAAAATAATTGAATTATATTTATGTTGGATTAGTGAGGGAAGAAAGCTAATTGAATATGAGAAATCTGGTGTTTTATCTTGAGAATGCATTTTAAGTTTGATTGTTCAACTCTGACATAATGCCAAGCTCTTATTGTAACTATGCAAACATTTTTTTAAATGATAAATTTAAGAGATCTGTGAATTAGTTTCAAGGTGCTAATTGAAAATCTTAATTTTATTTATTTATTTTTTTAAATATTTATTTATCATGTATACAATATTCTGTCTGTGTGTATGTCTGCAGGCTAGAAGAGGGCACCAGACCCCATTACAGATGGTTGTGAGCCACCATGTGGTTGCTGGGAATTGAACTCAGGACCTTTGGAAGAGCAAGCAATGCTCTTAACCACTGAGCCATCACTCCAGCCCCCGAAATT